CAGATTATAATTGTGTATTCTTGAGTTTTTTACTTAAGGGTTGTGAATAATTAAACTTTATTTAAATTATTATTATTTGATTAATTAAACTTTATCAACCCCTCCTGTAACCCCAAATAAAACCTTCAAAACAACACAGCAAATTTTATGCAAAGTAATTAGAATTATTTTTGATTCTTTTCTTTCTGAAATGAAGAGAAAACATTTGCTTAAATATCCAAAGTCTCTAAAGTTGCGGAGTACAAAATCAACTCAAAATATCGCCATCCTTCTCTATACCAGATACTCCTGCATCTAATGTGGATCTCTTTACCATGCCGACAACAACAACACCTCTAACTAGTTCATCAAAGCAAGATTTGTTCCAGCAAAAAGAGAACCAGGACCCAGTGCCGACTTTGTTTGACCCGGCTCCACCAGCGAAAGAAGAAGAAGAGAAGTCATTGGAGAATCCCAAGAATTCTAAAGATTCCATCATGGCACTGTATGGGTCGTCAAGCAGTCAACAAACAATGTACAATGTACCAGGTGAGGAATGAAATAAACAATAACGAACAATTTGTGATTCCTTTTACATTCGCCGAGCCAACATAATTGTGTTGAGTGTAAAAGTATTTTTGTTTCCTTGCATCACCTAATTTTTTGCTCCACTGTCTACTTTGTTGAGTGAAGCTTATCATATGAGGTGATTGTCTGTATGTCGTCATCTGCGTCAACTTTTTACTTTCTTGAAAACTACAAGCCTGAATGCTTTGATACTTGGTGTGTATGTACCTTGGGTAGACCTCTCTCAGATTTGTTCATTTCATGATGTGACTTGTATGTTGCGCACATTTATCACATTCTTGTCACCCGACTATCACGTATGCTTCTTTCCGTTATTGCATTAAGTGTCATTCTCTCGTCTCTCATTTTGATCATGTACACTTTCTTTGAATTGATCGCTCACGCATTGCTCTTGTACATCTGATTTCAGGTGGTCTCTATATACCACAGTCGTCTTCGTCACATAGCATATCCAACGGACCAATCAGTACTAGTAGTTCAACTACTACCAACGCAATGATGTTTGGACAACAATCTCAACCACATTCACAAATGCAGCAGCAGCCACAGCCGTTGCCGCAGCAGCACCAACAGCCGCAGCCACAGTCAGCCACTGCTGCTATGAGTAACATGATGGGGTACGGCATGATGACACAGCAGCCTGTCTACAACGCACAACAACAGCAGTATATGCATCAGGTATCTAAACCAATCTGCTATTAGTAGTTAAACTCATTTCTAAAAAATTAAAATCTACATTACGCACATGAACTAACAATTTTAAATCATTTCTCAAAAATTTTGAGATATTGTAAAGGTTTAAATTTTCCCTGACATATTAAATTGAGCATATTTGCTGAATTTTAAAATTTCAAATTGTCCACTGAAACAATGAATTCTACTGTAATGTTGTTTGTTCATGTGGATTTAATATAGTGGATTTCACTTAAAAGCAAAAATACTGAAATTAAAACTTAGTAAATGACTAGTGCATTTACAGTAGAGCATTTTTTTCCACAATTGGATTGATGGATTTTGAAAAAGCTATAAATTTGGTTTCCATGCCAACATTTATTTACCACCTTCCATCATTCAATCTCCTCTCAATTAATACAAATATTTAAAAAAACTTTCTATATAATTACTAATCGAAACACCTAAACACAGTCTTTCCTCTGGCCTATTTTTTCACATCCTTTCCATTCCTGTTAATATCTGCCGTAAGTTGACTCTTATCCACGTTTATCCTCTCACAGCAATACCAACTACAGCTGCAGCTTCAACTGCAACAACAACAGCAGCAGGTTAGAAACTAACACACATACTAATCTCTTGTCTTTTTCACCGTTCAGTTTGTCATCCTTTGATAAAAGTCAACACATGCTGTAGTTAGAGTTGTGGTCACATGTCATTTGAATTCACTAAGGTTTATATTCACCAAATTGCTATACTTATCATGAATTCAGCTACAAAACCAAAACTCCATTAAATTGCTCAGAAAGGCGGGCCATTTTTCAGAATCTCGTGAAATCCAACTTTTTTTGTTTGTTTATGCCACAGAAAGCAATGCTTGATGCTCGAACATCGTACAAAAAATCATGCATTAAATAAAAGAATAAATAAAAGAATGTGATGTCCCAGCAATATGGAAAGGTCTCAGAAGGACATGTATTCAGGCTGCCAGTTACACTGTAGCAAACGTTTAGTTTTGACCAAGTCAACAATTCTGATTAATTTCATTTCGAAAATATACATTTGTGTGGTGTTGATGCATCTGCCTTCATTTTGTGTCACTTTCATTTAATCTCCACAAAATATCACTGTACAAGTTTAGACTAACTGTACATTGGGTCCTTGGCAGCATTTTGAACTGGGCACAGAATAGGCATAGCCACTTGTCTGCTGACCTATCTGATTAGTTGTCAGTGAATCACAGCGGTTCTGAGAATTATTCAGTCAGGCAAGTTAGTAAGCTGACTTGCAACTTTGCAAAACACTTTGGGTTTTGTCCAATTTAGATTTGACTAGGCCATTCCACTGACAAATGCACAGTTTAGATCGTTCTATTATCATACAAGATACAAAATTAACGTTTGTTACAGGAACAGGTTATTTTGATTTGTTTCAACTTTCTTGAATCACACACAATGTAGATAGATAGCAGTGTTCTCCCCAAAGCGTTTTAGCGTAGCGGGGCCGCTACTCCATTATTTATGCCGCTACTCTGAGAGATTGCCCGCTACTCTGTGGCATTTCCTGTTACTCTTTGTTTTAGCTTGTTAATACACGTGCGAATCTGTTAGTCAGCGTCATCAGCGTCCGGTACTGTGAGCCAAATCAGGTGTGAATGTAAACATGTCAGTGCTTACGCAAAGACAATGGACTAATACAGCTTCGTACTTCGACAATAAACACTTTCGCCCTATTTAATTGGGGTAATAGCGAGTATTTT